ACCTGTAGTCCCAGCTACTTGGGAGGTGGAGGCAGGAGACTCGCTTGAGCCCAGGAGTTGGAGGTTGCTGTGAGCTGTGATGCCATGGCATTCTACCCAGGACAGCTTGAGGCTCTGTCTCAAAAAACAAAAAAAGGAAATAGTCCTAGGAAATATGTTTGTCTATTACAGGGTTGCTAGTTAGGACATTGCCCACTGTATTGCCCATATAAATAGTTATCAAAATGTTTTCTTGGCTTGGTGCCTGTGGCTCAAGCGGCTAAGGCACCAGCTACATACACCTAAGCTGGTGGGTTCAAATCCAGCCCGAGTCTGCCAAACAACAATGACGGCTGCAACCAAAAAAATAGCCAAGTGTTGTGGCAGGCACCTGTAGTACCAACTACTCTGGAGGCAGAGGCAGGAGAATTGCTTGAGCCCAAGAGTTGGAGGTTTCTATGAGCTGTGATGCCACAGCACTCTACCCAGGGTGACAGCTTGAGGCTCTGTCTGAAAAAAAAAAAAAAGTTTTCTTTTCTTTCTTTCTTTTTTTTTTTTGCAGTTTTTGGCCAGGGATGGGTTTGAACCCGCCACCTCCAGCATATGGGGCCTGTGCCCTACTCTTTTGAGCCATGGGCGCCACCCAAAAAAAACATTTTCTCTATGTGTAATTATCAGGAAATGTTTGCTTCTCCAGAGTAATTGGTCTGCTTTTTCCTTTTGACAGAGGAAACCACGTAACTATTCCTGTTTCCCTCTCTGATATGGTTTCTGGGAATATCTGAGAGAAGCCTGCAGCTTAACTCTGTAACAATGAAACATCCTATTATTTATCTACGGGTATGTTCCAACTTTAAGACTTCTATATGGTTCGATAATCCACTTTGTGCTTCATCTGACATCTTTCTGAGTTTATATTGTCTCTTATTCAAATGTATTGAGACCTTTCTGTTTGTTGCAGATTCCTGTAAGCCTTATCATATCCCTGAAAAAAAATTGCTAGAGGATAAACAAATAACTCACCTGTGATTCGATCATTTTCTGATGCTCTTGGGAAATCTTTTGTTTCGTTATTTCTCTCTGCCCTGACACTCTGGAGGGAGGCCTCTGGTTAGAGGTCTGTAAACTGACACTGCATCCTCACTCTTGCGGCCTCTTCTTTCTTATCTCACATGAACTGTCTTGTTCCTGAGAGTTATCACCTGTGTATGCAGTAGAAATTTTATTTTAGATGACGTAATTAATTGGGGAACCTAAATCTTGGTTTTCTCTTGCTGGGAACTTAGGTCATTTAAAGCCTCAAACTAAGCTGTCTGGCACACTCAAATCAGGGCTAGTGCTCAGCTGGCATGTCTCAGCTGCTGGGCCAGGTCTGCACCACATACTGCATTTAATAACCCTGGCTCTGGCCCAGGTGCACAGGCTCACGCCTGTAATCTTAACATTCTGGGATGCCGCAGCTCACAGGTTCAAGACCAGCCTGAGCCAGAGTGAGCTCTTGTCTCTAAAAGTATCTGGGCATTGTGGCAGGAATCTATAGTCCCAGCTACTTGAGAGGCTGAGACAAGAGAATCACTTGAGCCCAAGAGTTTGAGGTTGTTATGAACTGTGACGCCACGGCACTCTACCAAGGGTGACAAAGTGAAACTGTCTCAAAAATAAATAAATAAAAGAAATAATCCTGGCTCCTAACCACAAATGCAAATTGAAGACACTGACCTCACTGGTTCAAGCAAACACCCCTAGGAAAGCACTACCACACCAAACTGCTCAGCAGAGACCTCAAGAAATGCTGAAATACAATGATGTCTTATTCATTCTGCTGTAGTATTTTCCAGGGCACCCAAATTATTTGCATAGTTGCTACTGAGTAAAATGCAAACAAAAAAATGACTTTTAGATCAAGACTGAATTAGTCCAGGCTTTTGGCTCCTTACCAAAAGTGCTAGAACAAAAGAAAAGCATAGATCAAAGGAATCAATAGTAATAGTAAGAAAAAGAGAAAAGAGACACCAGGGAAGACCAGGTTGTGGTAAGGTTGGTGTCTGGGTTGGGGGCTCAGCAGGGCTTGCTGCAATGTCTACAGTGGATGGCAGTTAGACAGAAGTCTAAAGAAATCTTTTATGTTATCTCTTCCTAAGTTGACACTGGGACAAATACTGCCTAATTCAAAGATCACTTGTAAATAAATAAATCAGTTGTAATAGGTTTCCAAGGGGGTAACTGAGACCGACTAGAATGAAACCATCTAAATTATAATAAAACAGTGTAGAGACACAAGGTATAAATAGTAATCAAAGGTTTTTTTTTTAATAAAAGTATAAATATAGGGCAGCACCTGGCCTAGTGGGTAGGGCACCAGCTCCATATACGGAGGGTGGTGGGTTCAAACCCAGCCCCAGGCAAACTGCAACAAAAAAATAGCTGGGTGTTGTGGTGGGTGCCTATAGTCCCAGCTACTCAGGAGGCTGAGGCAAGAGAATCATCTAAGCCCAGGAGTTGAAGGTTGCTGTGAGCTGTGCCACCATGGCACTCTATCGAGGGTGATACGTGAGACTGTCTTTACAAGGAAAAAAAAAAGTATACATACAGGTAGAAGTTAACCAGCATTGTTCCCAATTTCCTTGCTACTGTAACTGGTCACTGCACCTCCCTGACAGGCAGAAGATTTGTTGACACTTCCATATATAACATTGCTGTTGTAATTCCTAAGACTTATGATTCCAAAGATATCACTGCTATTGTAAATTGTGAGATTTACACCTGGTCTTTGAGGTGTTTTTCTGACGGTACACCTGGAAGACCAGATGGGTACCCACAGGAACGAGTGACTGGAGTTGCCTAGGTATCCTTGGGACTCAGTGTTTTGGAGGGTTCAGTGACTTCATTTATAGTCAGTGAATAGACAATTGTGGCAATTATTTCTGGGGGTTTAGAGGGAACCAGTAATTTGGATATCCAGACAAATGTGTTTAGAAGCCCTGTGAGACTTAGTGATTAAGGGAGATAGCAAATAATCTACCATGGGACCTGTAGGGATGACACTGTGGCTGGTCCATGGGATTGAGGGACTGAGGGACTGAGAGACTAGTGTGCTGTGCTCTCACCACCACAGACTGCCAAAATTAGCCCCAGTCCCCAAACTCCAAGGAAACCCCAATCCTTCATCCCACAGAGCCTCCAGGCATTTATCCCCATGATATCCTATTCTCTAATCCACTCCACACTAACCCCCATTTGCTGACAACCCACAGGCTCTCCCACTCATCACCTGGAAAGGCTTTGTTCTGCACTATACAACCATTGAGCCCTTCCACTGACTCCAGTTCCTACCCCCATTGTCTACTCACAACCCAAAGAGATCAACCTCTAATCTATACCCTGGCTCTCTTGTCACAGACACACAATGTCCCCATCTCTGATGCCTCAAATATGCCATCCCCCAACCACTCTCCTGGATAGGTAACCCCAGTCATTCACCTACCCTGAAACAGCAAGCACTTTTACTCAAGTAAAACCCAGTTCCAGATGGAGTAAGGAAAGACTTTATTCCAAAGGATAATTTGTGGGCAAGGGGGAAAAAAGGGGCCATTGCATTAGGGAGAACACTGAGGCCATGAGAAGTGCGTCTTTCCAAGGCAAAAAAGGTTTTTCTTTTATAGAAAGAAATAAATCAGGTTAGAAAAGACCAGGTGTGTTGGAAGGTAAGACATACGGTCAGAAAAAAAAAAAAAAAACAAGAAAAGAAAGGAAAAAGAAAAGACCAGGTGCGGTGAAGTAGGATGGAAGGGGTGGGGTAACCTGAGAAAAGAGAAAAATTTTACCCTGAGCCAGCCTGTTCTCAGGAGGGGCTGTGTGGTGGGTCAGGTTGGCAGTTGGCCAAGTTCAGGAAACTGCAGGAAAGAAAGAAGCTTAACCAAAGTTTGGTTAACATTCATTTTGTTCCACCTAATCAGTGCGGGCAATTAGTTGAGTTAATCACTGATGAGGCAAGGAATGAAAATTTGGAGAATCTGTATCTGACTTGTCATAGGTCAACATGGGGACATGTTTGGAACTTATCTAAGTCATACGGGGAACTCGGCTCTTCACAGTGAGCAGTGTCCTGGGACACAAAAGAGTAGGACATTACTGAGCTTTCTGCTGTTTTCCAGGAGCACAGGGCTCAGGTAAAATGCAACAATGTCAATAAAGATCAACAGGCTTCCAGTTAATTAAATCCACACACAATCTCGAATCATCTAAACCCCACAAAAGCCTTAGCATTCACCGCACTGGCCTCCAAAATTGCTAACCCAAAGGCATCCAAATCACCGATGAAAAGTCCTCAATTTGTAACCCCAGGGTGAAACCCTAGCTTGCTCCTCCTACCACCGTTTACAAGTTCACTACCCGAAAGTTCGCTACTACGAGTGAGTAGCCCATTGAAAGCGTCCACTGCCCTCACAACCACCAAAGACTTAGATTACTGATTTACAGACATTCCAATATCCGACACTCAAGTGTCCCCAAATTAATCACCGCCAGTCAGCCTAGCAGTCTCCGTCTGCCCCACAAGCTGCTCGGTCACTGTCTTTTATCTCCCCGCAACAAAACATTCTCTGTCCTCGCAAGCCGGACAGACCCGAGTCCAGCGATCGCGCGCGCCCCAGGGACACCCCCCCACCAAGCCCCCGCCACCTCCGGGCCAGGTCAGCGCATGCGCTGCGATACCGCATCGCAGGCCTTCTCACACCAGCTCCTGCACCCGTTCATGCGCGGGCCGGGGCCACCGCGAGTCGGTCCGCGCCGGGGTCAGCGCGAACGCTGGGGCAGACTCAGAGGCCGCCTCCTCCCCCTCAGCACTGTTGTCCTGCCCAGCCTAACACACCCTTACCCCTCCGGCCTCGCTAGGCTGGGCGGACGCACCCAATGCTGGAAATGTCCACACAGAACTACATCTCCCAGAGTCCCGCTAGCTGCGTTTCCCAGAGGGCCGCGGGGGCCGCCGGGACCTGCGCTTGGGTTTCCGGTTTGGGGCGAGCTTGGCGATTCGCCTGGGCCTGGGCGTCCCGGAGCCGGTGCTAACGCCGGGCCTCAGAGGGACGGGTGAGTGTCACTCGGGAGAAGGCTCTGCTTTTCCACTTGGGCCATAGATGTAAGTAATGTAGGAAAATTGCAGATCAGTCCAGCAGTACTGAACGAAAAGATTGAAAACGGACGGAGAATTTAGAAGGTAATAAAACACAGTTGTGAAAAGAGAAGAAAATCAATGACTATAAAATCAGATATTAAGGAATTAAAGTAGTGATACAGGACAAGTGGCATCCCAGCCAGCTCATGGAGCTGGGGGGAACGGGCGGCTGCCTCTGCCTTGACAGTATTGGTACCATGGCAGCAAGCAGTGGAACCAGCAGACTAGAGGGTGGGCAGGGGGTCCTCATTTCCTAGGCCTGGGAATGAAAGGGATTGTAGCCATTCATTTGCAACCCAGACATGCCCCAGACACCATGTCCCAGACAGGCTAAATGTAACTGCCAAGGGCCAGACATGTCCCAGACACACTAAATGTAACTACCTAGCCCCGCTAAATGTAACTATGGAGGGCCTCATGCTACTATATATACCCCTAGACAAAGAGCCTACAGACAGGGAGAGAGAACACTTTTCTCTCCTGACTCCCTTTTTCTCTGTCTGCCAGGAGCTCTGGCACTTCTGTATTCTTTTTTATATATAAATCCTGTCTCACCACTGATCTGTGGTCCGTGGATTCATTCTTTGAATCACCCAGACCAAGAACCTACTGAAGAGCGAAATTCCGGTATCATTAGGACAAAAGGTAAACTTACAAATATAACTTTGAAAAAATTAGAATAAACACATATTAAAGTTCTTTACCCCAAAATAGGGAGAAAATGGACCACTTGAGGTCAGGAGTTGGACCAGCCTGAGCAAGACTGAGAACCTGTCTCTACTAAAGAGAAAAATTAGTCGGGTATTGGACTGGGTGCCTGTGGTCCCAACTACTTGGGAGTCTGAGGGAGAGATCACTTGAGCACAAGAGTCTGAGATTGCTATGAACTAGGTAGACATCTTGGCACTCTACCCAGGATGAGGCTGTGTCTCAAAAAGAAAGAGGGGGGAAGGGAGAGAAACAGGAAAAAGACAATTAGCAATGGAAATAGCCATAAAGAGGAAATTAAAATATTTGTGAGACTTGACACCCTTTGCTCAATGGTTAGGGCACCAGCCATGTCCACTGGGGCTGGTGGGTTTGAACCCTGCCAGGACCTGCTAAACAACAACAACAAAAATAGCTGGGCACCTGTAGTCCCCAGCTACTTGGGAGGCTGAGGCAAGAGAATCACTTGAGCCCGAGAGTTTGAGGTTACTGTGAGCTATGATGCTACTGCACTCTAATGAGGGTGACAAAGTGAAATTCTGTCTCATTAAAATTAAATAAAAATAAAATATTTGTGAAATAACATTTTGCTCAATTCTATATCACCTCATAAAATAGGTGATCTAAAGTAATAAACTTTAAAAAATATCCTGTTAAGACCTAAAGTCATTGATAAATTTAAAAGTGCTTCAGCTCCAGGCTCAGCTCCCATAGCACAGTGGTTACAGCACTGGCCACATCCACCAAGACTGGCAGGTTCAAACCCAGCCTGGGTCAGCTAAGCAACAATGACAACTGCAATAGAAAAATGGCAGGGTATTGTGGCAGGTGCCTGGAGTCCCAGCTACTTGGGAGGCTGAGGCAAGAGAATGGCTTGAGCCCAAGAGTTGGAGGTTGCTGTGAGCTGTGACACCATGACACTCTACCTAGGGTGACATAGTAAGACTCTGTCTCAAAAAAATGGAAATACTTCAGCTCCAGGCACAAGTATTTTAATTGGGGAACTCTTCACACTTTCAAAGAATATAAATCTTTCTAAAAACTTACAGAAAAATCTAGAATGATCACAAACCTTTCTTAATACAAAGCTTGCAAAACACTTATTCCATAACAAGACATAGATAGAATTAAATGAATAATAAAGCAATTATATTTCTGTGAAATTCCTGGAAAATAGCAAATAAAATCAAGCAATACATTTAGAAATACGTAAGTATTCTAAATACGTAAGTACGTACGTAAGTATGGTGGTTACAGCGCCAGCCACATACACCAGGGTAACAGGTTTGAACCCAGCCCAGGCCAGCTAAACAACAATGACAACTGCAACAAAAAATAGCTGGGCGTTGTGGTGGGTACCTGTAGTCCTAGCTAGTTGGGAGGCTAAGGCAAGAGAATTGCTTAAGCCCAAAAGTTTGAGGTTGTTGTGAGCTATGACAACATGGCACTCTAACAAGGGCAACATAGTGAGACTGTGTCTCAAAAAAAATAAATAAAAATACATGAGTAGAAGCTACAGAAATGCTGTATAAATTAATAGCATAATTCACTGTATCAGTAAATTAAAGGGGGAACATGAATTATCTCAATGGATAGTGAAAAATCATTTAATAAAACTTAGGCAAGAATTTTTTTTTTTAAGTATACAGAAGTATTGAGATATTAACATATGAAAGTAAATATGTCTCATAAATGGGTAACAGTTGTAATACTAGCACTCTGGGAGACCAAGGCAGGTAGATTGCTTGAGCTCAGGGGTTCAAGACCAGCCTGAGCAACAGAGAGACCCATTTCTAAAAAAAGTAGCTGGATGTTATGGCAGGCACCTGTAGTCCCACCTACTTAGGAGGCTGAGGCAAGAGAATCACTTGAGCCCAAGAATTTGAGGTTGCTGTGAACTGTGATGCCACAGCACTATACCAAGGGCGACAAATGAGACTCTGTCTCAAAAAATAAATATATTGATAACACTATAAGAAGTATTGCTGGCTTGGTGCCCGTAGCTCAAGCAGCTAGGGCGCCAGCCACATACACTGGAGCTGGCAGGTTCGAATCCAGCCTGGGCCTACCAAACAACAATGACAACTACAACTAACAAATAGCCAGGCGTTGTGGCTGGTGCCTGTAGTCCCAGCTGCTTGGGAAGCTGAAGCTAGAGGATCACTTAAGCCCAAGAGTTGGAAGTTGCTGTGAGCTGTGAGGCCACAGCACTCTACCCAGGGCAACAGCTTGAGACTCTATCTCAAAGAAAAAAAAAGAAGTATTGCCATTAGAAATGGGCTCAGCACCTGTCGCTCAAGTGGCTAAGGCGCCAGCCACATACACCTAAGGTGGCAGGTTCAAATCCAGCCCAGGCCCGCCAAACCACAATCATGGCTGCAACCAAAAAATAGCCAGGCGTTGTGGTGGGCACCTGTGGTCCCAGCTACTTGGGAGGCTGAGGCAGGAGA